ACAACGGTGTGAACTTATAGCGTTTTAGCACAAGTTATCGTATACTGCAGCCTAACTTGTAGACTACGTAACCGCCTCTTACCACATCAGTATCTCAATATACAATGGCGTGACCTTATAGCGTTTTAGCACAAGTTGTCGTATACTGTAGCCTAAATTGTAGACTACATGATTTTAAGCGTGCTACTAGATTGGCAATTAGGTCCCACCGTTTTACTGTTGAACTAGCTAAATGTAATCATTGTTTCTGTTTCCCCACCTGTAGAATGTCCTTTCCGATTTTTTTGCTTCCCGCATAACTACAACCTTCAAAAATTTAAATGCAATGCCAGTCGGCATATTATGTCTTCTTGAAGCTTGCTCCTTTTTTTGCACTTTCCTCAATCCTCCTCATTTTCAATCTTCTCATTCACTTTCACACCCTGTAACCACCCTGCTCCCTGCGTTCTAGTGGCATTACCGCGTTGCTTGGGATGAATGGTAAAAAATTTTTTAAAAATCATTAGGTAAGCCTAAGTTGTTTTGCGGAGTATAACTCAGAATTTCCGGCTAAACACTTGTCCGCTACATCGACTTGTCCACCACGTCGGCTTGTATGCCAGGTCGACTTGTACGCCACACTTTTCGGTAATTTCCGCTTTATTGAATCCCAATATATTATTTCAAAACCTTTTTATTTTTTTTTTTATCATTGCATCTCAATATTACAAGTGTCTAACAATTTTCACCATTTTTGACAGGACGGGTATACGTGTGAATATCAGAAAGGATAGAGAAAATTCGGTGAAGGCGGGAAAATATATAATGAAAACGAGACAGAAAATAGAATTCATGCAAAAATAGAAAGGAAGAAAACAACAACAACAACAAAAACGGCGACTAAATGACTGAATGAAAAGCGAAGAATCGATTGGCGGGAAGTTTATTAGTCGATAATAGTTCTTAGTTAATGAAAAGATTTTTCATTGTGCTGGCTTCAGTAATAAACGAGAAAGGTGATGAAGAGAAATTCTCTATCGGGAGAACCGGACGAGAACAGATTGAAACAGATCAGTTTAATTTACACTGATTCGGCTGCGCAGTGTGTTTATACAGGCAGACATTCTCAAAGCAACGGGCAAATTACGGCAGATCGATCGATCAAGTTATCTATCTTTTTGTCAATCTGAACTGATTTGTTATCCGTTTCATTCGTACATTCATTTCTTCTTTCTATTTTTATCGCGCCACATTATTATCTTCCTTTCTATACCCTTTGTCTTTTTCCTGTAATATAACTGCTTTCTCGGGTCAACAGTTCAAAACGGTTTCGAGGGAATGAATCTTGAATCTTCCAGCGAGGACCAACTTTTTTCCAACCTCGCCGACTGGCGCTACAGAATCACAAACTGGGCGAAATAACAGAGATCCAAATGCAACGCCAATCGTCATCTTGTCTTCCTGAAACATGTACATTGTTTTCTTCCTTTTGTACACCTTTTGTCTTTTTCCCGTAATATAACTGCTTTCTCAGGTCAACAGTTCAAAACTGTTTCGAGAGAATGAACCTTGAATCTCTCGGCGAGGACCAACCTTTTTCGAACCTAGCTGATTGGCGCTACAGAATCACAAACTGGGCGAAATAACTGAGATCCAAATGCAATGCCAATCGTCATCTTGACTTCCTGAAACATGATCATTTATTATCCTTATTCCACACTCAAATCTTATTCAATTTCACTCCCAGTCCCCCCCCCCAGCGTCATAGTGGCATTGTCGCCTTGCTTGGGTTGAAAGGATTCCACACTATTTCAAACAAAAAGGTTAGGAAGTAGGCCGCCCTCAGTACTGAAATAAGCGATAACGAAAACTGGGTTTGATATCTTACTGTATAATAGTTTTAAAAGAAAGATTGGCCACTGCATAGCGAATGTTTCCTTATATGGAAATAACTAATAGTATCCTTAAAGATGAAGCGAACAGATACTAAACTTTGATCCCAGCCAGATGACCAGAGAGTTAAGAACAGCCTAACTTGGGTAACACTGACAGCTCGGTCAATGAATGCCGAATATTTCATTATAAGATGGCGAATATTACCATTACCATTAAAGATAAAAAGAACAGATACTATACCTTGATCTCAGCCTCATCTGATGGTTAGAGAGTGAAGTAAACACGTGTCTCGAGTAGCTCTGTCTTCCGGGTCAATGTAGTATTTCGGGTCATTATAATGAAACTGTGAATATTACAATTAGAGATAAAAAGAACAGATACTATACTTTGATCTCAGCCTAATGGTTAGGGAGTGAAGAAAAGCGTGTTTCAAGTAGTACTGGCTTCCAGGATGATGTATGGGGACTCTTTCCTTATAAGGTAACAGCTTATATTACAATTACTATTAGAGATAAGAAGAACAGATACTACAGTTTGAGCTCATCTCCCTGGGTAGGTTGTGAAGAAAAACTTAACTAGTGTTTTGCTCAAGAATATTTCTTTTTTTTTTTTCTGAAGCTGCAACGGTTCGTTCTCCTGGAGGTTAGCATCAGCCATGCTTGATGGGAAGCAGAATGGATTCTCTCAGGTAATTAATAGAGAGAAATTTGTTTTGCATCAGTTAACGACAACTGTAGGTCATTTTTAAGATCCCTTGTCAATTCTGTATAATGAAAATAATAATATTACTATTAGCATCTTAGTACGTTTTTCCTAAGTCTAGATTTTAGAAGATCTATGCAATTTTTTTTTATTTCCATAAATCATAAAACTACTGATTGTATGAGTATACGACGCTGGTAAATGAATATCGTAAGGTGTTCAGCATGAAGATTAAACCAACATATATATATATATATATATATATATATATATATATATATATATATATATATATATATATATATATATATTAAGTTCACTGTTTTCGCGGGAAAACAGCATATAGCGTAATGAAAATGCCACAAACTTAACTAAAATAAAGTTTTATCGTCAAAATGCTTATGTTATTATTAAGATGAAAGACCAAAGTATTTTTTAATTATTTTTTTAAATGTTTTAATCCTTTCTAACACGTTCGAAATTTTGGTTAAATTCTTCTTTTGTTTACGTCATCGCGGCGTCACAGAAAATAACATTTTTTTTTGCGATTTTTTTCCATTGAAAACATATTGATTTGGAAATTCTTCTAAAAATCAAGTAATTGTCCGATTTTAATGAAATTTTCAGGACTTATTCACAAATGAATGAAATTATTTTTTAAAGATTTTTTTTAGAAAATTTTGGTAAAAAATATTTTTTTTTAAAATACGTTACCCACATTTACTTAATTTAATGAAATTTCCTTAAAAACCTTTTTGGTTCCTGAATTTTTTTTTTTTTTTTTTAAAAGTAGGAGTCTTCGAAGATGGTAAATAACCTACTTTTTTTTTTCAAATTTGAGCTATTTAACTGAAAATCTGCTCTGAATTGAAAATAATGAATCCAATAAAACTATGATATTACTTAATTAGAAAAGCTTTTAATTGCTTTTTGTAAATAAGTAATATTAAGGGCATTATTGTCTGAAGAAATAATTTTTTTCTGATGAATAATTAATTTTTACAAGAATTTTTTCGTTTTTTAAGAAATTTTAATTATAATAATTTATAATAGTTTAAAATCGTGTAAAAGCGCTGTATTGGGAGGGTTCCTCGAGGTGATGTAGTAATTAAGTGGAAAAAAAATTTAAGAGTCCAAAATTGCTAAGTTTAATAAATTTAGTTGCGCTCCTTTTTTTAAAAATAATTTTTTATGTTGTATTTTTTTACTTAATACATTCCTTATTTCCATGTATGATATACAGAAATTGCCATCATTATAACAAGGTCACGGGATCTAAGGGTTTTGTCCCTTTACGTGGCCTTTTCATAACATTTCGTTTCTTACAGGTTGTATTTTCCGTTCAGCTGTAAAAGTGTAAACTTTAAATTTTAAATTATTTTTTCTTTTTTTCATTTACTATTTCACTAAATAACTTTATTTTATGTATTGTATTTCCATTTGTGTGTGTCATACTCAAATAGAATATTTTTTTTAAAAACTCAGACTTAAAAATTATGTTATTTATGGTCATCAGTAGTAGCTGTGATCAGTTCGTCATTCAACAATCCATCAATTGATCGATCAGATGAACAGGACCGCTCGTTAATAGTTGGTTGTATATTATTTTTTTATGCTATAAGTAACAAAGATTTCTTTGAAATCAGATTACTTTAACTTTAAATTTTTTAACTTTACTAAAATAACGTGTCAGAATTTTTTTTAAATATCTTAAAAATCGATAAATTTGTGTTTGTTTACAAATTTCTTAAAATTAAGAAAATGGCCGTTTGTAAGAAAATTTAAAAATTTGAAATTAAATTTGACAATCAAATGTATATAGTTTCTATCTGAAATACACCAGAATTGTTTAATTAATAGAAATCGTAAATTTAATTATTAAACTTTCAATTAAAGCTAAAATGAAATCTTCAAGAATGTTTTTTCGTTGTAAAAAATTCATTTTAAACTTCAATATAGAAATTTATGCCGAAATAGTGGAGGTACTTAATATATACATATATGATATCCTTGGAAAAGGTATGAATCCTCTGCTTCTCCTCCCAGCTATGGGTGAAATAGCAAGACAGGCTGAGTTCTATAGCCTTGGATGGCAACTGGTTTAAGAGTAGGACAACTCTAAATTTGCTGGGTTATTTGGGGACCTTGTCGCACGTAGTGCACCAGGTCTCTCTATTCAGCCCTTCAAAAAGTGTGGTTCGATAAATGACGGAAGAGTTCAGAATATATATATATATATATATATATATATATATATATATATATATTATATATATCACTGATTGGCAAAAAAAAAGCTTGCATTGTGCTAATCTGAGATATAAGTAGAGGAATCTGTTAACTGGGATTGAAACACAGCTTTCGAAATCTTAAACATTACTTTGGTTTGAATACTAACTGCCTGTTCCTTACTAAAATACATCTCAACCTTGACTATTATAAACAGAAGGAAAGATAATGTCGATTTGGAAGAAAGGTGAAGAGATAGATAGATAGATAGATAGATAGATAGATAGATAGATAGATAGATAGATAGATAGATAGTAAATGGCATAATTTGTTAGATAAATAGATAGATAGATAGATAGTAAATGGCATAATTTGTTAGATAGATAGATAGATAGATAGATAGATAGATAGATAGATAGATAGATAGATATGAACAGACTAGAATGAATAGATAGATAGATAGATAGATAGATAGATAGATAGATAGATATGAACGGACTAAGATAGATAGATAGATAGATAGATAGTAAATGGCATAATTTGTTAGATAGATAGATAGATAGATAGATAGATAGATAGATAGATAGATAGATATGAACAGACTAGAATGAATAGATAGATAGATTGATAGATAGATAGATAGATAGATATGAACGGACTAAGATAGATAGATAGATAGATAGATAGATAGATAGATAGATAGATAGATAATGACCATATTAATAATTTCGGTTGCTTTTGTTGAAACTGATCAAAATTTCAAAGCTGAAGCTAATGAATTAATATCAGAAATGAAAGTTTATCCAGTGTGCATGCCTCTAAGGAAATCCCGGGGATTTATTAATTCCTGGGGTCAAAGTGATCGGTCGGTTTTTTTGTTCTTTTATTTCCTGACAAATCTGGAATGAAAAGGACGAAAGTTGTTGGCGCCATTAGTTAATTTGCTGAAAGATAAGCGAAAAAGAGAAAGACGACAAGGGGTGAACAAGAAGGAAGAACAAGATAAAGTATGGGGAGTTGTGGTATTTGTAGTATGTAGCTGAAGAAGAAAAAGAAGAAGAAAAAGAAGAAGGAAAAGAAAAAGAATAAAAAGAGGAAAAAGAAGAAAAAGAGGAAAAAGAAGAAAAAGAAGAAGAAAAAGAAAAAGAAGAAAAAGAGGAAAAAGAAAAAAGAAGAAGAAAAAGAAGAAGAAAAAGAAAAAGAAGGAAAAGAACATGAACAGAAAAATAAGCAGTAGGAGCTGAATGCATATGGCAAGAAGAAGAAGAAGAAGAAGAAGAAGAAGAAGAAGAAGAAAGAAATAAAAAAGAAAAAGAATGGACTGAATGGACACTATATAGAAGAAGATGAAGAAGAATAACAACAACAATAAACCGTGAAGAAGAAGAAGACGACGACGTCGGGTGAAGAAGAAGAAGAAGAAGAAGAAGAAGAAGAAGAAGGAGAAGAATGGACAATATATAGAAGAAAATGAAGATGAAGAAGTATGACAACGATAACAAAAGCAACAAGACGGAAAGGAAGAAGAAAGAGGAGAGAAAAAGAAGTACAACAACAAAAAGAAGAAGAATGAATTGAATAGACATAGTATAGAAGAAGAAGAAGAAGAAGAAGAACAACAACAACAACAACAACAATACGGAAAAGAAGAAGAAGAAGAAAGAAATGAAGAAAAAGAAAAAGAATGATCTGAATGGATACGGCAATTAGAAAAAGAAAAGAGAAAGAATGGGAAGAACAAAAAGAAGAAGAAAAAGAAGAAAAATTGTAAAACAAGAACGAACTGAATGGACACGGTATATAGAAGAAGAACAAGAGGAAGAGGAAGAAAGAAAGAAAGAAAGAAAGAAAGAAAGAAGCGTAGGTGGAATTATAGAAGCAGAAAGAGAAGGAAAAAAACAAAGTCTATGGCTATTGCAAGAGAAGGAGAAATCGTTGTAAGAAAAATGACAAATAGATTTGAAAATGTATTAACATCATTTTTACGACTATTATTGTTAATACGTTTTTTGGTCAAAGAAGAAGGAATTGCAGAATAAAAAGAAGATCAGCATCATGATAGAGTTAATGATGAAATAGATGAATTAGAATTCTTCTTATTCTCTACGCCGTGTCCATTCATAACGTGGGCGATCATGGCTCTCTACGACTTCTTGGAGGTTCTCTGTAACGCTTCTGCAAATACCTGATTCCTCCTCCTATCCTCTACCATTACAAGAGCAAGATAAAGCCGAAAACAAGTACTGCTGCCATACATGGGCAGGAATTACCCAATCTTTACTTTCCAATCTCAATAGAGTTAAAAAGAAAAAAAAAACGTCTCCACGTCCTTGTGGATGATGAATTATTTTCCACAATACAACACCTTTCTTACAGACTGAACGTTGCAAGTCTCTCACTGCTCTATCGCTATTTCCACGGAAAGTTCTCAGACTAACTACATTCCTTAGTTGCACCGGTTCTAAAACTCACGGATAAGGGCCGCTATGCTACACCCATTGCAGCGAGCGAACCACCTTCATTCCCTTTGTATTCTATCCATGGAGTATAGGATTCACTCCAGCAGATTCTTCTAATGAACCACGGCTCAGTTGGAATGACTCCCAAGTGGATGCTTCCCCGATCATTACAATCTTAACTTGTTCATGTCTAAGGTTAACCATTATCTTCCCCACATGTCCGCATAAACTATGCCTCTTACTCTGAAGCCCTCTTCTTAGCAGGGACGGCTACTTCGTGGAACCGACTCCCAAGTGGATGCTTCACCGATCACTACGATCTTAACTTGTTCATGTCTAAGGTTAACCGTTATCTTCTCCACATGTCCGCATACACCGTGCCTCTTACTCTGAAGCCCTCTTCTTAGCAGGGACCGCTACTTCGTGGAACCGACTCCCAAGTGAATGCTTCCTGGATTCATGATAGTAAGGAGGGTAACTGGCTCTTATCAAAACAGTCCTTCTCCTAGATTTCTTAGCAACCATGGTTAAAGAGCCGAGTCTACCCTAGCTGTAGGGAGAAAAGATGAATTCTGTTGCGCGCAAATGAATGCAGCAGACTCTGCTCTTCGAGTCGAATTCCACTTCTTTCCTTATAGTCGACCTCAGTTGCGATCATAACGTTCACAAACCTCCAGTTAACTGTGAAATCATTATATGCACATCGCCAGGGCCACAAACAAATTTTAATTGAGCGTCCTGGGTAAGACGATAAACTACATCCGCGTCCTGGGTATGACGATAAACTACATCCGCATCCTGGGTAAGACGATAAACTACATCTGCTTCCTGGGTAAGACTATAAACTACATCTGCTTCCTGGGTATGACGATAAACTACACTTCATCTGCGTCCTGGGTAAGACGATAAACTACACCCGCGTCCTGGGTAAGACGAGAAACTACATCCGCATCTTGGGTATGACGATAAACTACATCCGCGTCCTGGGTAAGACGAGAAACTACATCTGCGTCCTGGGTACGACGATAAACTACATCTGCGTCCTGGGTACGACGATAAAATACATCCGCATCCTGGGTATTACGATAAACTACATCCGTGTCCTGGGTAAGACGATAAACTACGTCGAACAGCAAGGCCTCTGATAATATGTTTTTGAAAAAATAATGTTGCCAGCTGTATGTTTTTGAAAAAAAAATACTACCATCTATATGTTTTTGAAAAAATAATATTACCAGCTATATGTTTTTGAGAGAAAAAAAATATTAACAGAAATGGATTTTTGACAAAACAAAAATATTACTAGGAAAAAAAAAAGTTGTCGGCATTAAATGACCCATTGAGGTTGATGTGCCGTAAAACAAAACAAACAAACAAATTTTAATTGAATTCTTCCTTATTCTTGACTGGTTACCAGTTTAGGCTAGAAATCCCGAAGGGAGATGACGTGTACTTATTTCGCAAGGGTAGTTCTACAAACGTGAATGTCACCACCTGGGACGGACATCGCTCATCGGAAAACACGATCGTTACTAAGTATTCTTCGCTTGTGGCCTTGTGCAAGATTAGAAAAAGCTTAAGAGAAACGCCTTGTCGTGATATAGTAGCTACTCTCGCCGACCGCCATTATTACTCTTCTGAGTTTGATCTTAACTGAGTGTCCAGCACATGTCTACATAGAAAGGTAAGTTTCGTTAATATCTCTAGGGAGAATAATGTAAAACAAGAGAGAATGAAATGAAGTCAAAATGTTTACCTTTCTTTTTTCTATTCTTTCTTTTTTTTCCCTCCTTTCTTTTAAATGAGACACAGATCGTGTGCGCCGAATGAAAAAAAAATAGTACAAAGTTAGCAAGGCGGATTACTGCTGAATCGGGAGTGGGGAGATTGGGGTGAAGCGTATGAGTCATCCCAAGAAGAAAGCGACGCCATGTCTGTATCGTCTGCTTTCTTTGCCGGGGTTGGCATCTGCCTTTTCCTCTCGCTTCCCGAACGTAATCGCTTGGCTTTTAGCAGAAATCTGACAGCAAAGCCAACTAACAATATCAAATAATTCCACGATCAAAGAATACCGAAGAACTAAATCCTAAAAACTTGAACAAAAATAAAGAAAAGAAACTAATCTTAAATGTATGTAACATTCACTGAAAAAAAAAAGTCTGTTCTCTAGGATTTCGACTTTTGTAAGCTAAGAGAATACTTCAAATGCTTTGTAGACGCGTGAATAAGGCCAATTGTTATTAACTAAGCTTGCATTAGTTTGGCACACGGCCACAAGAAATGAGGCAGAGGACAAAAATCAAACATGCCTTGATCGAACAGGTTCACTTGTGATCAAATAGTCCCAAAACAAGTCTCCTAAATAAAAGCCAATTTTTCTACCACTGTAAAAAAAAAACAATTATACATAAAATCTGAGATAATCGCCTGTCTTTATTTCTGAGATTAGATATTGCAATTATTTACTTTATTTACATTGTTCAGACTGTTATCCTTATCTTCGTTGCCACATTCACGACGTTTCGGCAGCTTTGCACTCCGGTTTTCTTCAGGATCTGTCTATATTTCTGAAATGAGATATTGTAATTATTTATACTATTTACATTTTTCGGACTCTTGTCCTCATGTCCGTTGCCATATTCACGACGTTTCGACGGTTTCGAAGCTATTATAATTATTTACACTATTGTTCGGACTGTCGAAGGCAGAGTCTCGTCTCGGGAATCAGCTAGCTGACCCCGTTTTATGTGGGGGTCTACGGGGAATTTTTTTTGACAATACTCTCCAAAAAGTGGCTTTAAAAATAAACTATCCTACTTAAACCTCAAGAGTAACACTAGTGAGGATAAGATGACTTACAAACACAAAAATCAAAAAATAAATATAATATGGTACAACCCATCCATTTGTAAGTTATCCAAAATTAATATCGGACAAGTTTTTTTTTTCAACATATAAATAAACATTTCTAAAATAACAACCTTCTAAGTAAGATCTTCAACAGGAAAACCATCAAAATAAGTTATTCCTGTTTAAATAACATGTACAAAATTATCGACTCCCATAATTATCTTCTAAATAAATTCTATATCAACAATAAACCTGTTACGGATCACCCCCTGTAATTGTAGAAATAGCGAACATTGACCAACCGAAGGAAAATGCAGAGCTTTGAATATTATTTACCAAGCAACCATTTACCCCGAAGAAAATAATTTAAACCACCATATTTACATTGGGATTATCGCTGGGGAATGGAAACAAAGACTTTATGCCCATAGACACTCTTTTCCCAACCCAAAATTAAAATACCAAATTGCTCTTTTCAAAAAGTTTTGGGAATTGAGGGAGAAAGATCTGAACCCTCGGATTGACTGGAAAATCATAGTTTTTGCTCATACTCCTAGTAATTTTAAGGGTAGATGTAACCTGTGTTTAGAAGAGAAGATTAGAATAAATTAATTCGATAATCAAAGTATACTACTAAATCGAAGGAATGAGTTAGTTTCTAAATGTCGTCCCCGAAGTAGATTCAAAGTGATCTAGAATATTGAGGTTCTTAGAGATGCCGCTAACAATTTTCTTTCCATTCTCTGAGAAATTAATCGTTTTCTGCTAGTCCTTAATTTATGCTCAACACAATGAATCTCGTTGTACTTTTTCATAATGCTACGAATTGCCGATCTAGAAACATTTAAATATTTGGGGATAGTTGTATATCCATCACCTTATTTGTACGCATCAACTCTCTTCATTGGAAGTTTCTTGCCAAGTCCAGCCGTCTTCGCTATGGTTGCAGAACGAATGAGTTATGGCGGCTCATGGCAATCACATATTATTTTCTTCATTAACTTTTAGAATGTTATAGAATCAGGCCAATACCATTTCATTTTCAAAGTGTATTTCTATTAAATGTCAAATTAAGAAAAAAATAATTATAATTACCATAGAACGATATTATTTTATAACTTCCATAATGGGGGGGGGGCGAATAATTTTGGACTGAACCAATTTTTAGAAAAATCTATAGCTATGAATATGAATGATCGAAAATTCTAAAAATTTCACGAATTATTCCAAGCTACAAACGGAATCAATTACTTATGGTACATTCAGTAAGTACAGTGTAACCCGGATATAAGAGACCCGGATATAAGAGAAACCCGGATATAAGAGAGATTTTCTCTGGTCCCAAATTAGAGCCTGTGTTACCTAAACAAAATAGACCAAACCCGGATATAAGAGAAACCCGGATATAAGAGACTTCTTCTCCGGTCCCGACAACTCTCTTACATCCGGGTTACACTGTACATGATTATTGTTTCGAATTTTTTTTTCCTTACACGATCATTACGCACACTAATAGATATTTTGCTTCATTCTTCCTTGTCAATAGCTTTAACATAGGACAAAAGTATTCTCATCTTACTTCTAAAATCAATTGCGTTACCTTTATTCTTGATTATTGCCTTAAAACATTTTTATAGTTCCTTATATGATCACTACGTACACTGAGAGGTATTTTGTTTCATTTTTCCTTAGCACTACCTTCTAGTTCCTCCAAATTTGCCGGATTTCTTTCTATTAATTTTTCT